AAGTCGCAGCTTCAAAGTTCGACTCGAAATTCCGATCGCAGGCGGCTTTCGCGGGACCGGTAAGTGGCACTTTCTTGCATGAAATTCCACGATGGTCAACAACCCCGGTCGCGGTGGCGCCTTTGCTATGTTATGCGCCGGTGGAAGCTCGTTTTTCGTGATCCAACGGGTCTGTCCAACTAGGAAAACCGTTTGGAACCAGACTTGAGATGACGCGCATCTCTCCGCGCGGCAAACACGTCCGGTTCGTTTGTTGGCAATCTGAAAAGCTACCGGTAGAACGACTCTGTCCCGGCGGTGCAAGAAAGTCGGTAAACGCGGAAGCGTGTCCGACGCACGTCGATGATGAACGGACCGTGTCGAGAAACGCGACGATTAAGAGCGTTTGATAGCGTTTGAAAGTCGACGGAAGATTTTTGCACCTCTCGATGCATCGATCTTACGGAGGAAATAATTTATATATGCTAGCTCGCTATCTCTGAAATTTATGACATTCCAGTGTAGGTACAAAATATGATCTTTCGATTGCTAAAAGAAGCCTTCTCCGCCAGTTATGTAAATAGCCTACTTTTGAACCAGCCTTTTTCAAACGTAATCATATTGTTTCCATAAACGCATGCATCGATGCACCGATTCTGGAATTACGGAAGTCGCTACGTGCTTCGGTTATTTCACTTTGTTTAACGTTGCTTCAGATCGTTACATATTCCTTGCGGTAATGTTACGCGGTAATTGAAAATTCTGCAGAAATCTATTCTTCGTCGTCCGAGTATACGTGCCAGTAAGCAAGAACCGCGTTACACCTAGGTATATAATATTTGAAAAAGAATGTCGAAAGTCTGAAGAATTTGTCTTCGAACACTTGGAGCAATTAGCCAACGATATTAAACCTCAGTGTATAAACGACCGTAGATGCAATATCTCTATATCGAGAACAAACGGCGTATTCTTCTCGTGTAGAAGACGTCAGACGCCGAAACGTTTCGCTGTAAATCCACGCGCGTTCCCAATCGAATCTCATTATAAACCGCGAAATATCTAGCAATCCGATTAGAAAGTCCTATAACCCTATTGCAGAGACATCGTGGCAGAGGAGGATCGTCGTGTGTGTTAACCGCAAGAGTGCGGACCGCGTTAATTGACGATTTATCGCGTTAATCATCGATTACGTATCGATGAATGGGCGCGCACGGTTCGCCGTTTCGATCGCCGCTCTCCTGCGCACGCGGCCGGTCACGTTTTTAGCTAATCTGCTTTCACGCTCCGGCAATTATGCACGGCGAGAGGCGCCTTTCTACATTCCGCCATAATAACCAGCCGCGAACCGGTGTTCACCGAGAGATTTTCCTGTTGCGTCCACCGATACGTTGCGCAACGGCCATCGTGGATATTTGTCGCGTCACGATCCACCGATGACGATCGGTAAAGACAGGCTCGTAATTGCAAGCCGCCAGTGTATCCAAAGCCTGTTCCAAATACGCGTCCAGACGATGGACCGTTGCCGTTTCGTTACATAATGCGGTAGGTATGTTTGTTCAATGGACAGAACTGTGAGTTTTCCGCGGCGAGAGCACGAACCGTGGCTAATGATAATATTCGATTATGCTCCTTCTACTGTGATGGGAGTAGAAACAACTGGCAACGAGAAAGTTAATGCGTATCAATTGCGAAATCTTACGCGCCCGTGTTACGTTTACACAGTGATTCCCTTCGTCGAGGGTAATTACTACGTTACTGGTAGCTAATGCTGTTCGATTTTTATTAATCGGCAGGTTCAAGTCGCCAGAAACAATAACAGCGAGATGGTAAATGAAAATAATACACTCTTACAATCTTTCGACTCGTAGACTGTAAAAATCGAATTGCATAAAAATTTATCCTAAAAATTGGATAAAAATTTATCGTAAATATACGCTGTTGCGTTGCAGGAATAAAATTCCAACAGTTGTTCTGTTGGAGAAACTCTCGAGACAATTCGAACAACAGGTTATCTTAAGTAGATTAATTAAACGTTAATAGTCGTGAACGGACCGAGTGCAGGCTCGTAACACGCTTATGAATATGGAAATGCGGCGAAGTAAGGTATGCACGCGCATACTTTCACGGCGTTTCTTACACCATGCTAACGCGAAATGATTTCTATAACGGGGACGTTCGATAATGTTCTCGATCGTGCGCTTTCGTATCGCCGAATGCGGGCCACTTGATTGCGCAAGGATGCGGGCAAATTTCTACTCTATTTCGAATCCGAGTCAACGATTAGCCTAAAAAGATGACAGACTGAGCCGCGAGAGAACACGCCCCGCATCAGGATGATTCTGTGATTGATTAAACGAGATCTTGCCAGCCTCCGTTGGTAATATTTCATGCACCGTCCCAGCCATTCGTAACCGGTCGAGCGGTATGCGAAAAGTTCAATATCCTAATTGAAACTTCGTCAAGCGTTCTGATTACGCGAAGTGGCATTAACTTTGATTAACGACTGCTCCGACTGATCACGTATATCGTAACTTTACGTACGGCGAATGATGATTTAAAATGTATTCCTCGCTATTATCTGTTCCGGTAATTATATAAGAACCATTCCGTATGGATACAACTTATACGTATATTGAATTAATGTAACTAGACAAAAACATTCTTCCCAACAGCGAAGAATTCTCATATGAATGCAGTTTGAAGTGTTATCAAACTTTGAATCGTTACGTAGTCACACTGAGCTCGTGGAACTCGTGATTCGATTGTTTTGCAAACAAATAATGTTTCGTCAGACACACTTGTTGCAATCTTTGCAAATTTTTGCAAAAATTCCGAACACGTTACGATTAATCTGACACGCGATCGCTGAATACTTCTACCGATACGTAACAAATTATACGTTCACCCGTTGTATCGAATGTTCGATAACGTGCCAGCGATATCGTTGAAACGGGTAATTTTATATCAGCGTTTGTTAACGATGCTCGTTAATTGCAAACGAAACTTCAACGATATCCTCGACATACATACTTCGTTAACGTGCACCGCTACACGTGTTGCGGACCTCTCTCCCAACAGCAGAGAGAAGCGTTCCCGATGGCGTAAGACCCCAAGGGATTCAGCCACGTGTCCAAGAAGAGAGATCGAATATAAGAGGCGGGGACAAGGTATTTCTTCCCCTAGCTTCGGCAGTCCTGTGGCAACGATCGCTTCCAGTCGACCGTAGAGCGCGAAACGTAGAAACTTTGATCAAGCGCGTGTTTCCTACCAACGGGGATGGAACAATCCCCGACGACGCTCGGATTCAATTTTCTAAATATCCTTCAGCTCCGGCGATCCCTCCAGCTTTTCGAAACTTTGCGAAATTAGCTTGGCCAACCCTACAAACTCGTCGATTGGAGTTCGTTGGGTAATCCAAATCGCCGTGCTCACGAACAAGCACAAAGTATCCATTGGTTTAGGAAATCAGGGAATTTATGGTTGAACGAGCTCGAAAAGGTATATATATATATATATATATATAT